TGGGCAGGCCTGGGGCCGAGTGGCAGGGACAGACCATCCAGTGTCGGGGCAGGGGCTTGGTCGGCTGGCTGGGGACAGGCAGACCCCACATTGCCGGCCCTGCTCTGGGGAAGCTCCTTCCCTCAGTCTCCCTGGGTGGTTCAAGGTTGACACCTGCTTCCTGCTTGGCCCTCGGCCAGCCTCGGCGCTGGCTCACCTTCCCGACTCTCGTCCTCTTTCACAACACGCTTTCTCTCTTCCGTCCCTTTCTCCTGTTCCCTGGGCTGGGGGCCGAGGGCCAGGGCCGACCCAGGACGGGGTGTACAGACCCCCTTGGCAGGGAACCACCATCCACGGGCAAAGGGAGCTGGGCTTCCAGGGAGCATAGCTGTATTTTTCTTTTTTGACTTTCCAGGAGCGAGCTCTCCTAGTTTCTGTGCCATGTGGTCAGTCCTAAGCCCTTGGGAGAGCACAGAGAGGCCGAGAGCCCACAAGTGCCCAACTAACCACAGCTCCGTATCTGCCTCTGGCCTGAGCCAGGGAACGTGGCTGGGTGCTTTGGGTGGGGACCCAGGCCTTGAGGCAGAGGGAGAGGCCAAGAGGCAGCAGTTTTGTCTTGGCTGGGGGCTGGGCAGATTTACAAAGGCCTTGCCAAAGGCTCCCCTTCAGTTACCCCAGGCAAGCCTGCTGAGTACTGCTGAGGGAGGGAGTCAAGAGCTCCCAGGGCCCAGCCTCCCCAGCCCAAAAAGCTGGGAGACAGAGAGAGGGAGCCTGAGCTAGGGTGCTGGGACAGACGGTAGAGGATTCGAACCCACCGCAGCAAGAGCCAAGTAGCAGACCCCGGTGCCCCGTCCCGCTCAGAGGTGCGGTCTGGTCTGACTTTTGGGGCTCTGCATGGAATTTTGCCAGAATGATTTCTACACCATCTGCCACCCACCAGGTGGGACCCAGGCTTCCTTGTGGGATAAGAAAGCAGATTGTAGCTCCTCACCCACAGTCTCCCTCTGTTTTCTGGAACCCAGCCGGCCCAGGTTGCCAGCGCTGCCCGTTGTTCTTGGCTCGTGGGCATCTATTTTTCCCACCAGCCTCTTGGAGCCTGATGGAACAGGTGTGGCTAGAGGTGTGCAGGTCCCTGGCCAGCTCCCTCTGGGTGTGGTTAGCACCACGTGAACACTTCTGCCATCGAGCTCTTCTGCGTGGCAGCCTCAGTGCAGGCATAAGGTGCTTCAAATATATTCCCTGCTAACTGGTTCCATCCCACGACCAGTGGGAGATAGGATTATAACAATCCTGATCTCACTGATAAAGAACAGCTCAGGTCTCCTGCCCAGCGTCACCATGGCAGGTTGGCGGTCTGGCTGGTGGCTGCCGCCCAGCCCCTGGACTCTCCCGCCCCACCCCTGTGCTACCCCTGCATCTGTCCTGCAACCCTTCCGCCCTCCCAGCTGGCCAAGAATAAGACTCTGGGGCCCATAATGGGTGTGGCAGTAGCAGAAGGGGGGGAGAGGCTGACAGGCACCCAAGGCACCTCCAAAGCCTGGCTGCCTCCTCGGCCCATCTTGCCTCGGGCTAAGCCAGTTCCAGCTGAACCGGCTTCCCTCTAGCTCCACCAGACCTGTCTGTGGGTGTGGGCCCTCCAGACGCGGTAGGACCATCTGGCCCGTTGCTTCACAAAACAACATGCAGGAGGCAGCTCCCCCAAATCCCTGCCCCTGTCCCCCCGACCCCAGCCCAACACATACACATAGAACCCTTGACATCAGGGGCTGCTCTGACGGTCCCCAGAGCTTGGCGAAGGTGTTGATGATGGCCACGTGGGGACACTTGGATAAGACCCTAAGAATTCAGAAAAATGGCACCTGGGTCAGAACAAGGCAACGCCATCTCTGGGGAAGGACCTCTGCAGCGCAACAAGACGGGCTCAGTGCCCCAGCTCCCCAGCTCCCCAGCTCTTCATTTGCCTTGGGCTCCCCTGTACCTGCATTTACCCTGAACCCCCTGCCCCTGGAGTAGGGGTCTGAAGGGTCCAGCTTCCTGGATAGATCCCCAGGACTCCCCCAAGGCTGTCTTCAGCCAGTGTAGGGGG